GAGAAGCTGGAGGTTCGCGCGGAGGTCTCCGGCCGGGAGCGTCCATGGGGCCTCCCGAGGCCCCCCTCCAAGAGGGCCCATGACGTCCGAAGCCTTGGCCGCCGACCCCTGAGGCTTCTGGAGCGCGGGGGTCTCTGGCCGGAAGCGCCCGGAGGCCTCTCGGGGGCCCTCCCGAAGCCCCCCCAGAGAGGGCCCAGAGCGCCCGAAGCCTGGACCGTCGACCCTGGAGGCCCCTTGGCCTCCTCGCCCCTCGCCCCTCGCCCCTCGCCCCTCGCCCCTCGCCCCTCGCTCCTCGCTCCTCGCTCCTCGCCCCTCGCCCCTCGCTCCCTCCTTCCTCGATGTGCGGCCGCGGGGCAGCCGTTTCGGCTCGGGCCGCTCGCCGGATGCGGCTCGGGGCGGCGGCGCGGTGTCTTCGGTGGCCCGCCGCGCGCCGCCCGGCGTGCGGCCCGTCCTGTGGCGCCCGGCAGGCACGGCACTGGCGGCGCGCCCGGGCGCGGGTGGGGCGAGGGCGGGTGGCTTTCTAAGGAGGCCGAGGTCTTTTCTGCAGATTTCTGTTTAACACACACACATGTGTATGTCTGTATGTGTGTGTGTGTGTGTGTGTACGTATGCATGCATGCATGCATGTCTGTCTGTCTGTCTGTCTGTCTGTCTGTCTGTCTGTATGTATGTATGTATGCATGCCTGTATGTATGTATGCATACATGCGTACATGCATACATGCATACATGCATTCATGTATGTATGTATGCATGTATGTCTGTATGTATGTAGGGCCGTCTTGGGCGTCTTGGCCGCCTGTCGTGCCGTCTTGGGGCGCTCTTGGGCCGTCTCGGGGCCCTTTTGGAGGCCGCTTGGGCTGTTTTGGGGGTGGTAATGAGGGCCTCTCGGGCCGTCTTCGAGCGTTGGAACGCCGAAATGGCGAGAACGCCAAAATGTTTCAAAAACCTGAGGGGAATCAATGATTTGTGCCTCTTGGGGCCCTCTTGGGAGGCTTCTACTCTTGGAGGCCTCTTGGGGCGTCTTGGAGGCCTCTTGGGCCATCTTGAAGCCATCTTGGGCATCTTGGAGCGATTGTTCGGCGACTCGGGGCCCTCCGGGTGGTCGCTTTGGGTGGGCATAGCGTCCATATGAGGCGCAGAAATCACCTCCGAACTCACGGGAGCCAGCCCGGGAAAGCCCAGGAAGGCCTGGGACACGATTGGTCCCGGTTCTTAAAGACTTGGAATTCTAGACGCTTCGCGTATCCCCACCTGTGCTTCCGACGCCATGCATACTTGCACGCTGGCAGATCGACTCAGTCTCAGTTGCCCTTGCCACCCGCCGGTCCGCCGCTGGGCCGCAGCGTGAGGCCTCGGTTTGCCGCGTTAGGCGTGGCCTGTTCCCGCTGCCTTCGCTTAATTCGTCGCTGCGTAGCCCGCTTTGACCTGACTCGCCGCCGGCGCGCTCGCCCGCGGCCGCTGACTACAAGTTATCCCCTCCCGCGGTTTGGTACTCACACGTTGCAGCATCGTGGCAGCCTCCGCAGCAGGCAGTCCTCACCCTCGGCGCAGGCCAGCCCCGGCGCGGCCGCTTCCCCTGGCGGTAGGTCTTGCCTTACGCGCGCGCCGGCAACTAGGTTGCTCGTAGCCCGAGCCAACTCTGCTGACGCTGCCGGCGCCTTCGCCTGCGGCCGCGACGAAAAAAAATATTCTCCACCCGCCCATCCAGAAACGATGTCCAGGCGAATTGAGGTGATCAGGGAACTGTGGGAGCAAAGAGGGGGACGGCCGAACCGTGCGAAGGAGGGAGGAGGAGGAGGAGGAGAAGGAGACGGAGGAGGCTGGACGGATGGGTGAGGGAATGGGGAGTAGGAGTATTAATCGGATGATGATGATGATGATGATGATGATGATGCTGATGGTGATGGTGATGGTGATGGTGATGGTGATGATAATGGTGATGATGATGATGATGATGATGACGATGATGATGATGATGATGATGATGATGATGATGGTGATGATGATGATGATGATGATGATGATGCTGATGATGCTGATGATGATGATGATGATGATGATGTTGATGATGATGATGATGATGACGGTGATGCTGATGCTGATGCTGATGATGATGATGATGATGATGATGAGGAAGAGGAGGAAAGAGGAGGAAGAGGAGGTGGAGGAGGGCAAACAAAAGGGCCAGAGGTCTCTTGGATGCCTCTCGGAGCCGCTTGGGATGTCTCTTGGGCGCTTCTTGGTGGCCTCTTGGGACGTCTTGGGGGTCTCTTGGCGGTCCTGGGGGGCTCTTGGGCGTCTTGGGTTCCTCGGGGGGGCCCCTCGGGGCCGCTTGGGATCGTCCTCTTGGGTGCCTCCTGGGGGCTTCTTTTGGCCTTCTTGAGGCCATTTTGGGGCCATCTTGGGGCCTCTTGGGGCCTCAGAGGCGCTGCTTGTAGCCATCTAGGAGGAGTCCGGTCCAAAAAGGGGGGGAATCCAATTAGCGCCCCCCCCCCCGAGAGGCCAAATTGGCAATTTCAAATTGGGGCCAACACCTCAGTCAAACCAGCGATTTTGGCTTCCTTGCCGACGCTGTTTGGGACGCCTTGACCGCTCGTGAGACCCTCCGTCCAGGTCCAGGGGAGGGGGTAGGGGGGAGGGTCAAGACGCCCTCCCCGCCCGCAAGCCGTCTCGCTCACTCCCACCCGCCCTCCCAACACATACGTAGCACCCGAGCCGGGCCCGAACCTCAGCATATTCAGCAGTCGTCTTTGGATGGGCAGCTACTGGGGGCGCATCCGCCGCCTCCGCCGCCGCCTCCGCCGCCGCCGCCGCCCGCCGCCGCCGCCGCCGCGTCGCCGCCGCCGCCGCCGCCGCCGTCCGCCGCCGCCGCCGCCGCCGCCGTCGCCGTCCGCCGCCGCCGCTGCCCCCGCCGCCGCCGCCGCCACCGCCGCCGCCACCGCCGCAGCCGCCGCAGCCGCTACCCCCGCCGCAGCCGCCGCCGCCGCCGCCGCCGCCGCCAAGTGTGTTCTGCATTGGTTTTTGACAGGGATGGTTGGGGGAGGCCGCGGCGGGTTCGCTGCGCATGCTCCGAATTTGGAGGCAGAGTGTGTGTTTGTATTGTTTTTTTACAAGGGATGGTGGGGGGGCCCTCTTTGTCTCGGGTTGGCTCCTAGTCGCCTGGGGGGGGTGCATATTAATAGGGAGCAGTGATTAAACCCATCCCCGAAGGGGAAGAAGGGAGGTGGAAGAGGAAACTCCTTAGGATTGTCGCAGCAGATGCGGCAACGCATCTACCTCGCAGTGCGGCGTGAGCCTTGGGACACTTCATTTCGTGGCCACGGCTGGACGCAGCTCGTGAAGCTGCCTGGGGATGAGCCCGAGGTGTGTTTGGGAATTGGTTCGGAGCGGGTCTGGATTGGAAGTGGTTCTAAGAGGGCAGAAAGGGGCTTCCTAGAAGCCTTCCGCCCCACTCGTGCGCTTTTTTTTTTTTTTTTTTTTTTTTTTTTTTTTTTTTTTTTTTCTTTTGTCATGCTGCTTCTTTGGTTTTCCCCCAGGCATCGTGTGGTGCGGGGCTGTCGTTTTGAGCGAGCAGCGCCCTGCGCTCCGCGTCCAATTCTCCTCTTCCTCCCACTCCTCTCTCCTCCCTTGTCCGCCCCTGCCCTATGCACGCACACGTCGGCACACCCCTCACACGTTTCGTTGGCCCCATGTGGGAGCTCCACCGAAGCACCCAGGGGGGGGGGCGGGGCGCGTGGCGTCGCTGAGCGAGCGTCGGCACACCCCTCACGCGCTTCGTGACCGCAGGGGTGTGCTCCGCCGAAGGCCTCGGAGGCGGGGTGGGAGGAGGCAGGGGCGCACGCGCTGTCCCCGCCCCCTCTTCGGCGCACCCCTCGCACGCTTGGTGGCCCCAGACAGGACTCCACACGAGGCCCCAGGGGGTGCGTCCACAGGCAGGTCCCCACCACGGCGGCGCTCCCTTTCACACGTTTCGTGTGGCCCCTTTGGGGAGCTCCGCCGAAGGCCCCCCTGGGTGCGTCCACACGCTGCCGCGCCCGCCGATCTCGGCACACCCCTCAGATGCTCCGTGGCCCCAGGGTTAGCTCCACCGAAGTCGGTGCTCATGGCGGGTTTGTTGGGGTCGGGGTCGTTGGCCAGCGCATCTCTGTTTTTTCTTGTTGGGGGGGGCTCCTCGGTCGCTCCCGTGGCCACGGCGTGACGCAGCTCTGACAGCTGCCCTGGAGATGGAGCCTGCAGGTGTGCCTCTGGCGAGTGGTCTGGAGTGGATCTGGGCCGGAGGGCGGCGCACAGGGGGGAAGGGTGAAGTCGGGCATGTCCCTCTACAGGAGGCATATTCGAAAATAGTAAAACATAGTCAGGGGACGATTTCTGGAGTATTTGTCGACTGTAGTTTTTTTCCTCCCCCACATCCGCCTGTAGGGGGACACGCCCGACCTGAGGGGAGGGGGGGGTGGGCGGTTCCAGGAAGGCATGGGGCTTCTCAGAGGCCCCCCTTCCGTCCCGCGAGCTTCTTGGTGGACGTCGCCCGGTTCCTTCCGACGAGGCCCCGGGTCGACCCGCATCGGAAGGACGAGCTGCTCTCCCAAGGATACCCTTGCATCCTTCACCACCCACCAAACCACCCCAACCCAACCCGAAGGCTCAGATTTACCCCCGATTTCTAGTGGGGGGGGGGTCCGGGAACATCGAAAAATCACATGTGGAGCCCATGCCCACCCGAAATTCGGGTCTTCGGGTTGGGTTGGGGTGGTCTGGTAGGATGTCAATCCTTCCCCGTTGGCCCTTGGGTCCACCCCTGGCCGCTTTCGCTCGCCGCGCCCCGTTCGGACAGCGTCGGCGCGGCCTGGCAAGGCCCGTGCACCCTTGCCGTGCGTCCTTCTTGTACGGGTGGACTGTGAACTTCCTGTAGGGAACTGCCCGATCCCTCCGAAGAGGCCCCCCGCCTTCTCGTATGGCTTACCCCCCTCGCCCCACCCCTCGTGGGTGCGCCTCCGATCAATGGCCGACCCGATGGAGCCTGGGGAGGGGATGACGCTGTACCACTCCGCGTCGTCCAGGGCGTTTCGGGTGCTGTGGGCGCTGCACGAGATGGGCATTGCAGACCAGTGCAAGCTCATCACGATGCCCTTTCCTCCGCGCGTGTTCGTGAAGGAGTTCCTCAAGAAGAACGTGCTTGGCACGATCCCCTTCTTCGTCGACAAGGGCGGCAAGGTACAGATGACGGAGTCGTGCGCGATCCCGCAGTACATCGCGCAGGCGTACGGGCCGACGTCCCTGGAGGTTCTGCCTTCCGAGCCCGACTGGCCAGCCTATTGGCGGCGCGCAGAAGGGGGTGGGGTGAGGTGGAGGAGGAGGAGGAGAAGGAGGAGGATGAAGATAGGAAGACAGAGACGACGACAATGGCGTCGATAACGACGATGACGACGATGACGGCGACGACGACGACGACGACGGCAGCGGCGGCGACGACGAAGACGTCGGCGACGACAGTGACGACGACGACGACGACTGTGACGACGACGACGACGGAGACGACGACGACGACGACGATAACGACGATGACGACGATGACGGCGTCGACGACGACGACGAGGACGACGACGACGGTCTTTCGAGAAAGTATGGGGCTTTCTGACGTTTTTGATTTCATGTTCAGCCTCCTGGCCAAGCCGCCGTGGCCGCGGCTGGACGCAACTCGAAGATCTGCCCTGGATGGTCCCCAGGTGGTGTCCAGTGACCAGTATTGAGCGGACTTGAGCCGAAAGTGGCGCAAGAGGGGAATGTGAAGGGGTTCTAAGAAGGCAGGGGGCTTCTTAGATATGATCGGAGGCTGCAAGAAGGCAGCTCAACCATGAGGAGGGCGTCCGAGAAGCCCCGCGCCCTGTCAGTATGCCCCCCCCCTCGCCCTGCCCCCCTGCCTGAATTCCGCTCCAGAGAGGTCTCCAGAGCACTGCTTGCGTTCATACTGGCAAGTGTATGTGGGCTGCGTGCTGTCGCTGCGTGGTCCTAGGGGTGCCCCCCCCCCAGGAGGCCTCGAATTGTGAATGAGCTTCAACATCCCTCCCTCGGGATCTTCCTCGCGAGGTCTCGGTAGGTCCCTGGATGTCTCCCAGCGACCCCAGGGGCCTCTGCAGGCACCCCGCGACCTTTCAAGATTCGAGCGCCTACGGAGGAAGCCCATGCCAAGAAACACCCTGCTTGCCTCCAGGGTGCCCTGAGTTTCCTGGTGTTCGATGGTTTTGCGATGGAAAGCGTGACGTTCCCACACCAAAGCTCTATGGACGCCCTGGGGTTCCAGGGTTGGGTTTCTCGTGGAAGGTTTCTTGCGGTCGAGCTCCTACTCGGGAACTGGAGCATATACATTACCAGTGGCGGGCTGCTTTTCAATCCCGTGACTTTTTGAGGGTCGGGGAGGACGCCGGGGTGGTGTGGTGTACACCTGTTTCCTCGTTTTCCAGGGGGAAGCAGCGAAACATGTATGTACAACAGGATCCCGCATACACCAGGATCCGCTTTCCTGTGCGAGTTTCAGTGCGGGGGCGAACATAGCGTCGGTGTATAGAGTTCGGATCCTTTCCTGGTGGGAGGAAGACATCCCCGCAGCCACAGCCTCTCTGGCCGGGTTCCCCGGGACTCGACGCGCCTGGATGCGGGGCGCTTTTCCGCGGATGCCCCCCCCCCCCCGCGCAGAGCTTGGCCGTGAGGCCGCGTGCCCACGGGGTCGCGCCCTGGAGTCCAGACCGCGAGGGCGTGGCTATGTCGGGAACCGGAGCCTTCTCATCACCAGTGGCGGGTTGTCTTATCATCCCAGGACTTTTTGAGGGTCGGGGGCGACATCGGGGTGGTGTGCTGTATACGTTTTTCCCCGTTATATCCTTGGGAAGCAGCGACAAAAATTGTACACCAGGATCCCGTATGCACTAGGGTTCGATTTCCTGTGCGCAGTCGTGTGCGGGGTCGGAAAAAGGCGTCGGTGTATGGAGTTCAGCTTCTCACTATGGATATTGTCGTCGCTCGTGAGCGAGGCTGGGCGCAGCAGTGCAACAGACGGGGGGCGGGCGCTGGGGCTTTCTTTTCCGCGGATGCCCGCGCGCAACGCAGCTCCATGCGGCCGCATATCCCCCAAGTTTGCCCCCCCCCCCCCCCCCCGGAATCCAGACCGCGAGGGCGCGGTTATGGATACGTTCGCCGGTCGCGAGCCTCTGCCCGATCCTCATCTCAGCGGCGAGCGAGGGGGGGAAGCGAGAGGGAGAAGGCCACCCCAGAAGGCGACGGGACTCCCCAGAAGCCCTCGCGCCTTTGAGAGGTTTTTTGTGTCTCCGGCGAAGGCTCAGGAGAAGGCCGAGGGGACTTCCGAGCCTTCTGAGAAGGCCTTGTCCTCCTCATTTCCCTCCTTCGCTCCCCGCTCGGGACGATCGAAATGGGTACGGAAAGAATGGGGACGATGTCCAACAGCAGTTCTTGATCACTTTGAACAGGACTCGCTGTCCGCGCCGCCGCGGACGGTGTTCACTGAAGACAGGAAGCCGCCTGCCCAACAGCGGCCGCTGTCGGATTTGGACAACATCTGTTGTTGTGCATTGTACCATTTTTGTCCGTACCCAAAATCGCGCGTCCAAAGCCGCCACTCCGGGCGTCCAACATCGCCAATCCTCATCGCCCAAAGCGCCCAAAATCGCCCCAAATCGCGCGTCCAATTCGGGCGACCAAAACTCGCGCGTGCCCAACATGCATGGTACCTCATCTCGGGCGTCCCGGATCGCCAGAATCCTCCTTCGGCTGCGCGCCGCTGGCCCGTCTCAACTGGATCGCGCACGCGGACGCCACCCTCACGTTCCCGCAGACCGTGGTGCTGCGCTACACGCTGCAGGAGAGGGGCCGGGCGGACCAGGCTCCGCGGGCCCCCCCCTCCGCTTGCGGGCGAGCAGCGCCGCGGCGGCGAGGAGGGGGAGGCCCGGCGGCGAGCCCGGGGGGTGGGGGAAGTGCGAGGGGGCGGGCCTTCTCTCCTCCTCCTCCTCCTCCGCCTCCTCCTCCGCCTCCTCCTCCTCCTCCTCCTCCTCCTCCTCCTCCTCCTCCTCTAGGGGAACACACAATGACATGAACATGAAAACTCGAAGGTCCGCGCGGCTTTCTCGGATCCGTACCGGGCCCCCCTGGCGGCGCCTCCGGCGCCACCCCCGGCGCGCTCCGCGCGCCAGGGAGGGAGGGGGGTCCAGCGCGGATCCAAGAAATCCGTTCGGACCTCGGAGTTTCTGTGCTTATGCCATTTTTGGTCCCCCGATTCTCCGAAGGCTCGAGCAGGCCTCGTGCCTCCTGCGAAGTCCTTTTTGTCCGAGCTCTTCCCCCTGGGGCGCAGGCAGCTTCTCGGGAGGCCAGAGGGCCACCGAGAAGGAGGAGGAGGAGGAGGAGGAGGAGGAGGAGGAGGAGGAGGCGGAGGAGGAGGAGGAGGAGGGGGAGGAGGAGGAGAGGAGGAGGAGGAGGAGGAGGAGGAGGAGGAGGACTTTGAGAAGGCCTGCGCCTTCTCGCGTACCCCCTGGGTCGCGCCGCCGAGGGGAGGGGGGGGGAGCGGATGTCTAGGAGGCCTCCGGGATGGGGTCGGATCGGGTACAGCCAGGACCCCGGGTAAGGGGACCCGGTTCGTGGTGGGGCCCTGGCTGGGGCCCCTCCATTGGCCAGATTCGCTAAACCAGGTTTGCCGCAACTGGTGTTTTTCGGGTGACGGCAGCTCCGCTTAGTGGAAATGGGACGGGGGCGCGCCCCCGGTACAAATCACTAGACCAGGTTCCACTAAGCCCAGTTCTGCCAACGCCCGATCGGAGTAGATGGGGTCGGAGGATCGCGCCGCATCGCCGATGCATCGGCGATGCGGCTCGATGTGGAGCCCGAGGTTCTCCACGCCGACGTCGCCGAGGCATCGCCGACGTCGACGATGCGTCGCCGGTGCATCACCGATGCATCGCCGATGCATCGCCGATGTATCGGCGATGCGGCGCAATCCTCCGACCCCATCTGCTCGGACCCCATCTAGGAGGCCTCTAGCGGATGCGGGCCAGAGTACGCCCAGGATGCATCGGCGATGCTGCAGTGCTCTCCAGACCAGAACGGGGCTCTTGCCGGACCTTTCTCCCTGCAACTTGCGGTCCTGACTCTTCGCGTTCCTGGGCGCTTATGTAGCGAGAAGGATGGAGGGCAGCCCATGCTTATAAATAGTGGGGCTCCGCCAGAAGGGCAGGCCCGTCTGGGGCGCTCGTCATTCGAGGGAGAGCGCCCCGCAGGGAAGTGTGACGCTTGCAGGAAGTGATGATGAAGGGGCTCGAGGCAGGAGAGTGGAAGGTCGTCCCCTTCTTATTCTTTGTTTTGCCGATCGGCGCGACCCCTCGCCCCCCCCTCTATGGAGTGGGTCTTGGCCATTTTTTGGCGCCTGTTTCGAGCAGGTGGAGTGTCCCCCACAGGGCGCACTGTCGCAAACACTCGCAGTAAGCAGAGGTCCAGAGCCAGACCCCCTCCCCCCCTCCGCCCAATGTCGAAACGCTGAATAAGAAAAACGTTCGCAAGAGGCCTTCCAGGTGGTGTCCGAGTAGATGACTTTAGAGGGCCGTGCCGCATCGCCTGAGCATCGCAGATGCGCTGCGATGTGGAGCCCGATCCCTCGACCCCGGCGTCGCCGATGTTTGCCGACGCCGCCGATGCATCGCCAATGCTGGGCCTCGCTCGGGCGCGAAGATGACCGCGCGTCGCGCATCGCGGGGCGCGACGCGCGAAGACAGTGGCGACCCCAGCGCGGGTGCTCCTGTTCGAACGCTGCCAGTGGCCTGGCATCGGCCTGCGTCAGAGGACCTGCGCCAGCGGAAGGCCGCTGTCGTTCAAGGCCAACGGTCCGTGCGGTGTCAGTGGCGGGAGGAGGAGGAGGAGGAGGAGGAGGAGGAGGAGGGAGGAGGAGGAGGAGGAGGGAGGAGGAGGAGGAGGAGGAGGAGGAGGAGGAGGAGGAGGAGGAGGAG